ATGATTCTTTCTTAATTATTTGTCTCTATCAAATCTCTAAAAATATATGAATGGTGTGATTTATAAACGCGATCTATTTAGACTTTTTGCGAGAATGCTCTCGCAATCTCACAATTATTTAGGAAGTCCTTAAATAGTTTCCATATTACGACTTGATGTAAAGGATTGTCTAATGGTAGATCCAGTTTTTACGTGGAGTCGGTAACATATAATTGGTCCCCATACATTAATTTGTTGAGCCCGATAAATAAAAGTTTCCAATCCCGTCAATCGCATTGCTCTAACAACTTCCTTTCCCTGCGTCCTCGCAATATACAGTATCATTCCTTTTTCGTAATTTAAAACCTTAGTGATACCGTTTGAATTTCACTAGGAAATATTGGAGTTTGAATTTGACTAGGATTCTAATTCTTTTTCTTTTGTTAAGTATACCAGTAATGATATTTGTTTAGAAGAGTTTGACAAAATTATTAGACCTATTATATTTGATTGGTCATTTATATTTGGCATTAATTGACCAATCAAATATAATAGGTCCAACAATTCTGCTAAATTATTTTGTATATATATCATTACTGTATATTAGGATTCTAATTCAAGAGTGGATGGCTATATAAAAGGGCATGGAGTGTTATGGCTATATAAAAGGGCATGGAGTGTTATGGTTTGATCATTGTTTGCTAATTAGGGTTTAAACCCCAAAGGTTGTAGCTTTGGACGCAAGATTTGTGAGGGTGAGATTGAAAAGTGTTCTTATTTCTACAAGAACTCCTCTTGAAAAGACAAGGTGATTTTTTCAAGAAATTTTTTATTTGAATTTTTTTATTTTTGTTTCTTTTTCATACATCATCAATATATGAAGTAGAGAAAGTTTATCACGAGGAGTACACTAGAACACTCAATATAATATTTTTTTTGCTATGAAGCATGCATACATGCTTCAAATTCTTTTTTTTTTTTAACTGATTTTCTTCTATCCTCTATATTTACTTTGTAATTTTAAACCATTACTTCTCAATCTCCCCCTAAACTTTTGATGTTGCATTTCTTTTTATTTTCTTTTTTGTTAATTTTGTTCTTGGATTGAGACGTAGCATGTGTTACTTGCATTTCAATGTTTTAATTCATATATGTTAAATAATTATATACAAAGCTATATTATTGCTACATTATTCTTTCTAAGTGAAAGTAATATCCATGTCCTTGCCAATGTTGTATTGGAAAGGTGTGGCGCTGTAGTTCAGGCGTTAATCCTAGGTTCGAATCCCCTTCCTCCTAACTCCACTAACTACTAACTCTGCTACAAATTTGTATGCTGCGGACACTCCTGTCCGTTGCATAGCCACCTCCTTTCGCGGTTGCTTCCCAGTAGCCAACTCGAATGGGTTTTCATCCCTGTTATTGAAGACCGGTGCGGATTGTAGCAAACCTGTGCCTTGTACAACAATTCCGCCCAATTCTTCTGAGGAGTAATCACATAATTTCGTGGATATTCCTCCATCAGCCTATTCATGGTAAAAAAAAGAAAAAAAAAAAATTTGGAAAAGCCAACTTCTTGGGTAATTAAGGAAATATTAATGGTCCCAGCCAACCAACACTTACACATCAAAAAAAAAAAAAATAAAAGCTATATAAAGCTTACACCAAATGTATCAAGTGTTGGACTAATGGTTCCTGGACCATGTAACAGTGGACCATGTAACAGGATTGGTGGCTAGATATTGGTGAGCCGGGCATACCATGTCATTGGCATGCCTATCCAATCAACATCCACCATTTTAGTTTGTTTCATCCCTCGTTGCTTTCTCCATCTCTTCCCTTCCTTCAAACCAAACAAAGGTAAACTTCTTCCGTCCCTCCATAATTGTTCCTTCCAACCAAACATAGAATAAGCCTTTTTCCAATTACATTAGGCTGGCTACATGAATCTTATGTTTCCATTCCGCTCTATTTACTGCAATACCCTCAACCAATCAAAATTATCTTTCTTTCCTAACTCTACCCACATTTACCCTCAATGTGGACTATGTCAATTTTCCTAACCGTGGCAAACAATATCAATCCAAGGGATACCTTTTTCCAATTACTTGGGGCTAGCTACATGAATTTTATGTTTCCATTCCACCCTATTTAACGCCATAGCCTCAACAAATCAGAATGTTATCTATCGTATCTTTCTTTCCTATGTCTACCCACTTTAACTCTCAATGTAGACCATGTCACTTTTCCTAACCATGTCACTTTTCCTAACCGATGGTTAGGAATCTGAATACATAATATCAATCCAAGGGAGCAGATGGAAACTATACTATGTTTGGTTGGAGTGAAGGATTAAGGAGGGATGGAGGAAAGAGGGATAGAATGACCTTTTCGAGTTTGGTTAATTGGAAGGAAGGGAAGAGAGAGAGAAAAAAGCAAGGACGGATGAAGCATCCCCTCCTTCTTTTGTGTTTTTCTATCCCTAAAAATTGGGGGGAAGAAGAGAAAGAAAAAGCAAGGAGGGAACCATCCCCTCTTCCTTTTGTGTTTTTCTATCCCCAAATTTGGGAGGAAGAAATAAAAGAAAAAAGAAAAAAAGATAATAACCAACAAATATGTAATTTACATTTTTAACCTTCCTACAATTGTCACTCACTTTTTTTTTTTCCATTTTTTTTGTTTTTGTTTTTGTTTTTGTTTTTGTTTTGTAAGGAGGAGACTTTACTTGAATTATAAACATAAATTATTACTTGAGCATGATTCAAAAATTATTTGCACAACTAGTTGGTTCGAAGATCTCAGTGGTGTTGCATAATTTGAAATAGATGTCTAATTTTTATAATTTTATATAATGAGGGTATATTGATAAAATAACATAAAAACTTTTTTCCCTTCCAACTAGGGATGGCAATGGGGCAGGGTGGGGCGAGGATCTCATTCCCCATCCCCATCCTCAGTCAAATTTTTTACCCCCATCCCCGCCTTGCCTCGCCACAATAGACCCCACCCCGCCCCGCCCCGCCCCGCATAACATTTTTTAAATTTCAATTCACCCTCAACAAACTTAACACAACCTTAATATTTTCAACCTAATAATTTAATAAAACTTTAGCACAATTATAACAATTTAAAATATGATGCATAACGACTATGTTTTTTCTGCGAGGGAATAGATCTAGGGTTTTAGTTTCAGAAGTGAATGTATTATATATATAGCTATGTAATTTAGTAATATTTTATAACATGTAAGGACAAATTTGTAAAAATGCACTATAAACGAGGCGGGGCGGGGTGGGGCGGGGTTACCCTCCCCCGTCCCTGCCCCATCCCTCGTCGGGATTTCAAATACAATCCCCATCTCCTTCCCATTTACATAAATGAGTCCCCAAACCCATAATAAACAGGGCGGGGACCCACCGGGTATGGGGATATTGCCATCCCTACTTCCAACCAAACAAAAAAAATAAAAATGTCACTTCATTCATATTTTCTACCATCCATTCTATCTAATCAAACAAAAAGTGAGATATACATCTTCCTTTCCCTAGGATAGCTAATCCATCCCTCTCGCTCTGCCTCCAGGGCCGACCCTGGGCATAGGCGATGGAGGCGATCGCCTAGGGCCTCCAATTTGGAAGGGTCTCAAAATTTTAAATTTCCTATATTATAATTGTTCCTTAATATTTTTACAAATATAATCAATGTAGAAATTTAATACGTGACGTCAAAATTTATATCCTAAAATAACTTTTTATTTTCTCTCTTTTCTATTGGGCCCCAAAAAATTATATCCTTAAATGAATTTTTTTTTCTTTCTATCTATCTCTTCCTCTCTCTATCCTCCTCGTACAAAATTTTAATATTAGTCTCAAATATTTATATTCTTAAATAATTTTTTTCTCTCAATCTAAATATTTGTCCCAAATATTTATATTCTTAAATAACTTTTTTGTTTCCTTCGGCATTTTTTACAACACTAAATTTTTCTTTTTTCCATGTTCTTTTTTCTTGCTTTTTTCTTTTATTTATTTTCTTATTCATCACATACTTTTCTCTCCTCTCTGAACTCTTTCAACAAGTCGTCTCCATCCTCTTTCAACAAGGTCACTTTTTATTTATTACATAAGGCCCCAAATTATTTAAAGCCGCCTTTGGTTCTTATCGTTTATTTTAATGAAAATTCCACTCTTATAAATTTTTTTTTTTCAGCCTAAAGCCCCAAATTATTTCGAGCCGCCCTTAGTGCTTATTGTTCATTTAAATGAAAAATCCGCACTCTTATAAAAATAAATTTCGCCTAAGGCACCAAATTATTTCGAGCTGCTCTTGGTGTTTATCGTTCATTTTAATGAAAATTTCGCACTCTTATAATTTTTTTGCGCTGGTGAAATCTTATATATAAAGGCCTCGCATTTGAAAGTTCGTCTAAAACCTCTCAAAATTTTGGGAATCTCTGGCCGGCCTATCTCCCTTCATCTATTTTTCCATCCCTCCAACCAAACGGAGTATAAGTTTCCATTCACGACCAATGTAGCAAGGTACACCAAGAAAGAACTGCAGAACAATGAGCTCAGGTAAAAGTGCGTTTATAGCTGCAGAAGTAGGAATAATGACACCTGAGATCTTATTGTTTTCATAAAGTGTACTTAAAGGTCTTATTTGCACATATTCAAACCATCTTTAACCAGTTACCTGCGATGTGGACTAGTATCATTTCCATTTCTCATTATTATGATCAAATTATTATTTGCTTTACATTATTTGTTTATACAATATTATTGTATATATCAAGGTTCACCGTATCGATACGTGACCATTTTTCACGTCCGATACAAGAACCGTATCGGACTTTGTTTGAGTCCGTTATACCGTGCCCGATATCGCGACCGTGACCGACATTGCGAACCATGATATATATATAGATGGATGCTTCTGCGTGTGTGTTGATGTTGTTGACATGCTTCCTGAAATGTTATTTGATTCGGGGTTTTGTTTATTTGGCTAGTTCTTGGACGATCAGCATGTTAATTGGCTCAAGTCCTCTTTCAAAAACACCTGGAAAACGAGTACTTGATCATGGCGGACACGAGTCTTGTGGTCTTCCTCCGAACTTTAAGTATATGAAGGTGGATGCAATTAGACTATTTCCAAGAGGGTGTGATGCACAAGCCCCTGAAATTAGTGAAAGAAGAACTGAGGGTGTTACTACGGTGACCGCCACTCCAAACTTGAAATATCAGGTGGAAATGACCGATGTACTTGAGGCGATGAAGGTTCCAGTATCGTGTGGTAAGGTTGTAGCACTGGAAAGCAAAATGACCCCCGACAATGTGGGAATGAAGTTGCCAAAAGGATTGGCGAGTGTGTTGGAAAATGGGGCTCAGACTAGGCAGACTGAAGTGGTTGGCTTGGAAACCTCGTCTCCTCCTCCATTCCGTGCAAAAATGTATCAGCCTCCAAAGATTCGGAAAGGTGTTCCTGTCTCTCGTGAATTTCCTCCACACCGTGGAACGATTAATCATTTTGACAATGCAGAAGTGAAGATGACAATGGCATCGGGAAAAGATGGATTGATAAATTTGTTGGAAAATGTTGCTCAGCCTAAGCAGATTGACGCTTTAAGTAGCTTGGAAACAATGTCACCTTCCTTGCATGCGGAAAAGTATCCACCTCCAAAGATTGGGGAAGGGGTTCCTGTCTTAAATCAATTTCCTCCACATTGTGGAAAGATAAATCATGTCAAAAATGTGGAAATGAAGTTGCCAAAAGCGTCAGAGAAAGATGACCTGACAAAAACGTTGTCTCCTCCTCATGCAGTGTCAAATGATCTTACTCCGTTTGACAATTACCAATCAATTACTAGTCGCAATCAGGTGATGAAGACTCTGAATTTATTCAAAAAGATATTTGAAGAGCTTTCGAATGAAAATCAACCAAATTCAAAAAGACAAAGGAAGGCTGTTGGACAGAGTGAAAAGAAGGCTGCTGGACAGAGGCATGTAGAAGCGGCGATGGTTCTCAAAAGGCAACAAAAATGGATTAATACAAGTGGGCGTATCTTGGGACCTTTCCCTGGGGTTGAGGTCGGCGACCAGTTTCGTTTTAGAGCTGAACTTCTTATTATTGGCCTTCATCAGCAGTTTGTAGCTGGTATAGATTACATTAAGAAAGATGAAAAGATTTTTGCCACAAGCATTGTGGCATCTGGTCGTTATGGCAATCATGCAGAATCTTCTGATGTTTTGATATATTCAGGTCACGGTGGAAATCCATTGTTTGAGAATACGAAACTCGAAGATCAAAAATTTGAACGAGGCAACCTTGCCTTGAAGAACAGCATGGATGCAAGAACTCCTGTCCGGGTTATCATTGGTCAAAAACAAAAGTTGGGGGTGTCCAAAATTAAGGGTACAAGTAAAGCGAGGATTCAAAAAATATATGTCTACGATGGGTTGTACCTGGTGACCAAGTATTGGCAAGAAACAAAGCAACATGGAAAATTGGGGTATATGTTTCAATTGAATAGACTGCCTGGACAACCAAAACTCCCTTGGCAAATAGTGAGCAAGTCATCTGAAGTCTCCAAGAATTTTTGCGTGGTAAGTGACATTTCTCAAGAGAAAGAAGATATACCCATTAATGCAGTGATTGCCAACGATGATGATAAACCCCCTGCTTTCACTTACATAAAAAATATGATATATCCAGAGTTGCTCAACCACTCTAGTCCAATTGGTTGTGATTGCATCGATGGATGCTCGGATTTGAAGAGCTGTTCCTGCACCATAAAAAATGGTGGTGAAATTCCATTCAATGACGATGGGGCTATGGTTAAACAAAAGCCCATTGTTTATGAGTGTGGTCCTTCTTGCAAATGCCCTCCTTCTTGCAAGAATAGAGTTAGCCAACATGGCATACGTTATGAATTAGAAGTATTTAACACCAACCTAAGGGGATGGGGTGTTAGATCACGAAATTCTATTTCTTCCGGAAGTTTTATATGTGAGTATGTAGGGGAGTTGCTTCGGGACAGGGAAGCTGAGAAAAGAACTGGTAACGATGAGTACTTATTTGATATAGGGCTCGTGAATGAGGATGAGGACGAGGACGAGGACAAAGGCGACGATGGCTATACTATTGATGCGGCACACAGTGGAAACGTTGGAAGGTTCATCAATCACAGTTGTTCACCCAACCTTTATGCTCAAAATGTTCTTTATGATCATGAAAACAAGAGAATGAGTCACGTCATGCTAATTGCTACGAGGCTCATTCCACCCTTACAAGAATTGACCTATGATTACAACTATAAGGTGGGCCAAGTTCTTGATGTTAATGGCAATGTCAAGGTGAAGGAGTGTCATTGTGGTTCGCGTAAGTGCACCGGGAGGATGTATTGAGGAAGTTTTTCTGTATAATCAACTATGATTGGGTTAGACAAAAACTAGGTTCATTTTTCAATCTAGTTTTTATTGCTCATTTCATGCCATCATGTACAAAAATCTTTTTGAATTTTTAGTGTTTAGCATTCGATAAAGTGATTGTCAATTTTATTTATTTTAAATGACGCTTACCGTATATATACATACAAATTACTGGCCTCGTTGAACAGATTTTTATAAGCTCGTGTTCAAATCATATATGATGAATCACTTGTTCAAATCATATTGGATGAATCACACATGTAATGTAGTTAATGCATAAACAGATTGAAATGATTTATGCACATTATTTCATACACTTATAATTAATATTCACTTCTACTAAACATGTGCCTTACTTTAAGATTACACCCCACATTGCAACTGGATGTCTCATTCATCTCTTCTTTTTTCCCTTCCATTCAATTTTCTTCCTTCCTACCAAACGGAGCATAAAGGAATGTTTGTACTTGTGCTTCCTATATGATCATTGTTTTTGGAGAAAAATCGAAAAGGCAAGACGAGGATGGTTTAGATCCTTAATAGTTGCTTACTAAAAGTCAAGTGGTCGACGAGCAATGGTGCTTGAATACCAGAGCTGGGAGCAAGACACAGAATATTTGGGATTCGAGTAGAAGACTAAACTTGAATATTTGAGTTTGGAACAGGACTAATGAGTAATGAGTGAGAATTTGGGATCCGAGGAGGAACTTGGCTTGATGACTGAAGTCCAGGGCCATCAAGTAGGCAGAACATTCTCTCGTAGTGATTCAGCTGATCATTGACCTGACTTCCGTATATCTTATCTCGACTTGACTTGTAGAGTTACCGTTTGACTCCCGTATATCTTATCCTCACCCTACCAGACAATAGTAACATTATTTACAAATAATTTCTCTTAATGCATCTATAAATGCAAACCCTATCATTTTTCTCGCATTAGTTTATATAATTTTTCTTTTTGCTGCTATAATAAAACTCATAAATATTACCTCAGTATGAGGTCATCCACTCGCTCTTTGGCCTATAAAAGGATGATGCCCCAAGGTCAAGAGGGAGGGAGCTGGAGGAGGAACCACCACCTACACTTTGCTCTCTTGCTTTATCACCCATGTCTCTCCCACTTCACCTAGAGATGGCAATTTCCTCTGACTCTCGCTTCGGCCCCGTCCCGCCCCCGCCCCTAATGTGGTGGATTTGGTGTTCCCCTAAATGGGTTTGAGACGGATATGGTAAAATAATTAAAAATCCTACGCGAGTTTGTGGCGGGGGCGGATTTAGTGATGAACCTGCCCCAATTATATATGTACCTTTTAATTTATATATATATATATATATATATATAATATTTTTAAGACTTTTGTTACTTTGTTGAAAGTGTCCGTTAATATATTAATATTTATTATTTAGTAATTTAAAAGTTGAGTTAACTTATTTATCAGCCCAATTTGAACATGGCTAGTTTTTTTTACTACATACCCCATCGCGCCTTGCAATTAAACGGAGTACATGGGGCTCGAGTTATCTACCTTACCTACTCAACCCAATCCCAACCCATCCTTCTACTTTTAAATTCGTGCTTGCAACTCGGACTTAGATTCCGGGTAAAATGTTTGGGTTAATTCGGGTTACTCATATAATTAATTCTTACACCGAAAATTTAATATGATCTTGAATTAGTTTTACATTAAATTACGCTTAAACAAGAAAAAGTTTAAAGACTTTTTTTTGTAGATTTTTAATTAATTACAAACAATTTTTTAGATATTAATTTTCCTAAATGTTAACATACAAGCCCAATCCTAATTGTAAAAATAATTGCCCAAGCCCGTGAAAAATAGGGCTGGACTCGGGTTGAGTTCAGGTTACTTAACCCAAGTTGCACCCTTATATAAAGTGATTTAGAATCCCACATTTCAAATCATATATAAGAGGGGCTTTGACTATGTACCTTTTATGATTCTATTATATCCTCTACTATATTTTATTACATTACAAACCATTCGATATAGTCTAGTTCCCAATACACTTCTAGTAGCTAGAAAAGACAAAAGTGAAAGAAATACACATAAACATATATATATATGGTCCAATAATAATTTTTATATATTACAAGTTACTGTAAACAAATATATAAATATATATATATATATATATATATATATATATATATATATAAATGTTTAAATGAACTGATTGGAAAGAGCAAAAATAGGTCTGATTGGAACAACGGAATGCAAAAGCCTTTTTCTAGAAATATGGGGTATAACGGTCATATTGGAGGGTACTCTCGAAATTTATAAAAAAAATATCAATCATGTGCATCACAATATGGAAAGAAAGTTGCTTAATGTAAAATGCAAGGGAGCAACTTGTTTACTTTTGAAACTATAGAGACTAACTTGTTCACTTTTATTTTCACTCGGTAAAACTTGGGAGGTTTTTGCACTTTTGCTAATTACACAGAGCCGAGAGCGAATTTGGGAATAGCAACATGAAAACAACAAAATCTAAATCAATGCAAAGTGGAAATACATGAAAATAACAAAATCTAAATCAACGCTAGGTGGGAATACGAGCGAAACGTTGAGAATTGAGGTAGTATCTTATAACACTATGATACCGATTATATATCCTTAAATAATAGTTTCCATATTATGACTTGATGTAAAGGTTGTCTGATGGTAGATCCAGTTTTTACGTGGAGTCGGTAACATATAATTGGTCCCGGACATTAATTTGTGGGGCCCGATATATAAAAGCTTCCAATTCCGTCAATCCATTGGTCTAACAACTTCCTTTCCCTATTTAAAAACTCAGGAAACTTTCCTTAGCTATACAGTTTGAATTTGACCAGGAAATATTGGAGTTTGAATTGGACTAGGATTCTAATTCTTTTTCTTTTGTTAAGAAAGTATACTAGGATTCCAATTCTAAGAGCGGATGGCTATATAAAAGGGCATGGAGTGTTATGGTTTCATCATTGTTTGCTAATTAGGGTTTAAACCCCAAAGGTTGTAGCTTTATGTGTTGCTTTGGAGGCCAGAATTGTGAGGGTGAGACTGAAAAGTGTTCTTATTTCTACAAGAACTCCTCTTGAGAGACAAGGTGGTTTTTCTGAAATCTTTTTTTTTTTTTTCACTGATTTTATTATTCTCTAAAATTATTCTTCCAAAGTAGAGAAAAAAATTGTTTGTTGTTCAAGAAGGAAGCTTGAAGTTCAATACCCAAGCAAACGAATCATTCTCGCATCACTTGGGTATGCTCTCTATCCTCTATATTTACTTTGTAATTTTAAACCATTACTTCTCAATCTCCCCCTAACCTTTTGATGTTGTATTGCTTTTTCTTTTCTTTTTTGTTAATTTTCTTCTTGGATTGAGACGTAGCATGTGTTACTTGTATTTCAATGTTTTAATTCATATATATTAAAAAATTATATACAAAGCTATATTATGTTTTTTTATTGCTGCATTATTCTTTCTAAATGAAAGTAATATCCATGTCCTCGCCAATGTTGTATTGGAAAGGTGTGCAGATGTAGCCGAGTGATGTGATAAAGAGTCAGGCCTTAATCTTAGGTTCAAATCCCCTTCCTCCTAACTCCACTAACTACTAACTCTGTTACAAATCTGTATGCTGCAGGACACTCATGTCCGCTGCATAGCCGCCTCCTTTAGCAGTTGCTGCCGAGTAGCCAACTCGATGGGCTCTCATCCCTGTTTCTGAAGACCGATGTAGATTGTAGCAAAACTGTGCCGTGTTCAGCAATTCCCCCCAATTCTTCTGAGAAGCAATCACATAATTTCATGGATATTCCTCCAACTTCTTGGGTTGTGAATTAAGAAAATATTAATGGTCTAGCCAACCAACACTTAACACATCAGCAAAAAAAAAGCCTATATAAAGCTTACACCAAATGTGTAAGTGTCGGACTAAAGGTTTCTGGACCATGTAATAATTTCTCAGAGGCTGGTGAGCTGGTGAGCCAGGCATACCACGTCATTGGCATGCCCATCCAATCAACATCCACCATTTTAGTTTGTTTCATCCCTCATTCTTTTCTCCATCTCTTCCCTTCCTTCCGACCAAACAAAGGAAAGCTTCTTCTATCCCTCATCTCTTCCATCCTTCCACAATTGTTCCTTCCAACCAAACATAGCATTAGGGATAGCAACGGGGCAAGTTTGGAGCGGGTTTTCCTTAATCTCGCCCCGCCCCGTTTAATTTTTGGCAAGTCCATACCCGCCCCGTTGGGAAATATTGTGCCTCGTGCCCGCCCCACTAACAATCTTTTTTTCACAATTTTCTTGGCTCATAAATTGATCTGGTGTCCCTCTCTGTCTTCCACAATTTTCTTGATTGAATAGCTCGAACAGAAGAAGACGAAGAATAGATCAATCCCTCTGCCTCTGCCTGAGAAGAATAGATCAAATAAATTATAAAATAAGAGATATATAATATATATATATATATATATATATATATATATATATATATATATATAAAATGGAGAAAAAAAACTGAAGAAGAATAGATCTACCTGCGTGTGTGCGTAGATCTACCTGAAAAAGAGAAACAGAGACTGGTGAGGGAGAGAGGGATTGAGGTCGAGGGTTTAGTTTTTAAGTTGTGACTCTCTCTCTCTCTTCCCTTGATGTGCCACTTAGTTCACATATAAGGCTTAAGAAAACTAGGGTTGTAAAAAATAAGTAACTGGGTAAGCCGGTAAAATAAGTTATTAATATTATATATATATATTAAATATAGTTATATGCTTAGCGGAGCGGGGCCCCGACGGATATGTATAAGAATCCTTACCCACCCCGTGACCCGCGACGGGTACAAAATTTGTATCCATGTCCGCCCCAACGGTATAAAAGTTGTTCCCATATCCGTTATTAGCGGGGCAGTAAAAATTACCACCCTTACAGAGCCATAAGCCTTTTTTTCCGATTACTTGGGGCCGACTACATGAATCTTATGTTTTCATTATACTCTTTTTAATGCCATAGCCTCAACCAATCAAAATGTTATCTATCGTATCTTTCTTTCCTAACTCTACCCACGTTTACCCTCGATGTGAACTATGTCAATTTTCCTAACCGCGACAACAATAGCTGAATAACCAATATCAATCCAAGGGAGAATACATTTTTCCAATTACTTGGGCCAACTACATGGCTCTTATGTTTCCATTCTGCTCTATTTAACGCCATAGTCTCAACCAATTAAAATGTTATCTATCGTATCTTTCTTCCACGTTTACTCTCAATGTGGACTGTCACTTTTCCTAACAACGGCATCAGGAGCTGAATATGCAATATCAATCCAAGGGAGCAGATGAAAACTATGCTATGTTTGGTTGGAGTGAAGGATTGAGGAGGGACGGAAGAGAGAGGGATATAATGGCCTTTTTGAGTTTTGTTGGAGGGAAGAGAAGAGAGTGGGGAAGAAGAGAGAAAGAGAAAAAAAGCAAGGAGGGATGAAACATCCCCTCCTTTTGTGTTTTTCTATCCCCAAAAATTAGGGGAAAGAAGAGAGAAAAAAAAACAAGGAGGGATGAAGCATCCCCTCGATTCTTTTGTGTTTTTCTATCCCCAAAAATTGGGAGGAAGAAAAAAGAAAAAAAAAGATAATAACCAACAAATATGTAATTTACATTTTTAACCTTCCAACAATTGTCACTCACTCTTTTTTTTTTCTTTTTTTTTTTTTTTTTTGTAAGAAGATGACTTTACTTGCATTGTATACAATTGGACTTGATAAATTATTACTCTTTTTTTTTTTGGATAAGTGGTCTAGATAAATTATTACTTGAGAATGATTAAAAAATTATTTGCACAACTAGTTGGTTCATAGATCTAAGCGGTGTTGCATAATTTGAAATAGATGTCTAATTTTTATATTTTATATAATTAGGGTATATTGGCAAAAATAACATAAGTTTTTTTTTTTTCCCTTCCAACCAAAAAAAAAAATGCCACTCCATTCATCCTTTCTACCATCCAACCAAACAAAAAGTGAGAGAGACATCTTTCTTTTCCTATGATACCTCATCCATCCCTCCCGCTCTCCCTCCATCTATTTTTCCATCCTTCCAACCATTGTATAACCATTCATCAACGGATGTCGCTTCCCAGATCGGGTAAAAGTTCAAACCTATAGTTGCAGAAGTAGGAATAATGGCATCTAAGATCTTATTGTTTCCATATAGTGTACTTTAATTGTCTTCTTTGCACATATTCAAACCATCTTTAACTGGTTACCCTCGATGTGGACTAGTATCATTTCCATTTCACATTATTATGATCAAATTATTATTTGCTTTACATTATTTGTTTATACCATATTATTGTATATACCATGGTTCGCCGTATCGTTACGCGACCATTTTTCAAGTCTGATACGCAACCCATATCGGCCAATTTACACTGACTTTGTCGGAGTCCGTTATACCGTGCCCGAGACCGCGACCGCAACCGATACTGCCAACCATGATATATATATAGATGGATGCTTGTGCGTGTCTCGATGTTGTTGACATGCTTACTGAAATGTTATTTGATTCTGGGTTTTGTTTATTTGGCTAGTTCTTGGACGATCATCATGTTAATTGGCTTAAGTCCTCTTTCAAAAACACCTGGAAAACGAGTACTTGATCATGGCGGACATGAGTCTTGTGGTCTTCCTCCGAACTTTAAGCATATGAAGGTGGATCCCATTAGACTATTTCCAAGAGGATGTGGTGCACAAGCCCCTGCAATTAGTGAAAGAAGAACTGAAGGTGTTACTACGGTAACTGAAGGTGTTACTACGGTGACCGCCACTACGGATGCAATTAGACTATTTCCAAGAGGGTGTGGTGCACAAGCCCCTGCAATTCGTGAAAGAAGAACTGAAGGTGTTGCTACGGTGACTGCCACTCCAAACTTGAAAAATCAGGTGGAAATGACCGATGTACTTGAGGCGATGAGGGTTCCAGTATCGTGTGGTAAGGTTGAAGCACTGGAAAGCAAAATGACCCTGGACAATGTGGGGATGAAGATGCCAAAAGGATTGGCGAGGGTGTCGGAAAATGGTGCTCAGACTAGGCAGACTGATGTGGTTGGCTTGGAAACCTCGTCTCCTCCTCCATTGCGTGCTAAAATGTGTCTGCCTCCAAAGATCCGGAAAGGTGTTCCTGTGTCTCGTGAATTTCCCCCACACTGTGGAACGATTAATCAAGTTGACAATGCGGAAGTGAAGTTGCCAAGGGCATCGGGAGAAGATGGATTGATAAATTTGTTGGAAAATGTTGCTCAGCCTAAGCAGATTGACGCTTTGAGTAGCTTGAAAACATCGTCTCCTCCACCATTGCGTGCTAAAATGTATCCGCCTCCAAAGATCCGGAAAGGTGTTCCTGTCTCTCGTGAATTTCCTCCACATTGTGGAACGATTAATCATGTTGACAATGCAGAAGTGAAGATGACAAGGGCATCAGGAAAAGATGGATTGATAAATTTGTTGGAAAATGTTGCTCAGCCTAAGCAAATTGACGCTTTAAGTAGCTTGGAAACATTGTCTCCTCCCTTGCATGCTGAAAAGTATCCACCTCCAAAGATCGGGGAAGGGGTTCCTGTCTTACATCAATTTCCTCCACATTGTGGAAAGATTAATCATTTCAAAAATGTGGAAATGAAGTTGCCAAAAGCGTCAGAGAAAGATGATCTGACAAAAACGTTGTCTCCTCCTCATGCAGTGTCAAATGATTTTACTTTGTTTGACAATTACCAATCAATTACTAGTCGCAATAAAGTGATGAAGACTCTGAATTTATTCAAAAAGATATTTGAAGAGCTTTCGATTGAACATCAACCAAATTCAAAAAGACGAAGGAAGGCTGTTGGACAGAGTGAAAAGAAGGCTGCTGGACAGAGGCATGTAGAAGCAGCGATGGTTCTCAAAAGGCAACAAAAATGGATTAATACAAGTGGGCGTATCTTGGGACCTTTCCCCGGGGTTGAGGTTGGCGACCAGTTTCATTTTAGAGTTGAACTTGTTATTATTGGCCTTCATCAGCAGTTTGTAGCTGGTATAGACTACATTAAGAAAGATGAAAAGATTTTTGCCACAAGCATTGTGGCATCTGGTCGTTATGGCAATCATGCAGAATCTTCTGATGTTTTGATATATTCAGGTCATGGTGGAAATCCATTGGTTGAGAATACGAAACCCGAAGATCAAAAACTTGAACGAGGCAACCTTGCCTTGAAGAACAGCATGGATGCAAGAACTCCTGTCCGGGTTACCATTGGTCAAAAACAAAATTTGGGGGAGTCCAAAATTAACAGTACAAGTAAAGCGAGGATTGGAAAAATATATGTCTACGATGGGTTGTACCTGGTGACCAAGCATTGGCAAGAAAGAGAGCAACATGGAAAATTGGTATATATGTTTCAATTGAATAGACTACCTGGACAACCAAAAATCCCTTGGCAAATAGTGAGCAAGTCATCTAAAGTCTCCAAGAATTTTTGCGTGGTAAGTGACATTTCTAAAGAGAAGGAAGATATACCCATTAATGCAGTGATTGCCAACGATGATGATAAACCCCCTTCTTTCACTTACATAAAAAATATGATATATCCAGAGTTGCTCAACCACTCTAGTCCAATTGGTTGTGATTGCATCGATGGATGCTCGGATTTGAAGAGCTGTTCCTGCACCATAAAAAATGGTGGTGAAATTCCATTCAATGACGATGGGGCTATGGTTAAACAAAAGCCCATTGTTTATGAGTGTGGTCCTTCTTGCAAATGCCCTCCTTCTTGCAAGAATAGAGTTAGCCAACATGGTATACGTTATGAATTAGAAGTATTTAAGACCAACCTAAGGGGATGGGGTGTTAGATCACGAAATTCTATTTCCTCCGGAAGTTTTATATGCGAGTATGTAGGGGAGTTGCTTCGGGACAGGGAAGCTGAGAAAAGAACTGGTAACGATGAGTACTTATTTGATATAGGGCTCGTGGATGAGGATGAGGAGGATGAGGACGAGGACGAGGACGAAGACGACCCTGGCTATACTATTGATGCGGCACACAGTGGAAACGTTGGAAGGTTCATCAATCACAGTTGTTCACCCAACCTTTATGCCCAAAATGTTCTTTATGATCATGATAACAAGAGAATGTGTCATGTCATGCTATTTGCTACGAGGCTCATTCCACCCTTACAAGAATTGACTTATGATTACAACTATAAGGTGGACCAAGTTCACGATGTTAATGGCAATGTCAAGATGAAGGAATGTCATTGTGGTTCGCGGAAGTGCACCGGGAGGATGTATTAAGGAAGTTTTTCTGAATAATCAACTATGATTGGGCAAGACAAAACTAGGTTCATTTTTCAATCTAGTTTTTATTGCTCATTTCAAGCCATCATGTACAAAAATCTTTTTGAATTTTCACTGTTAAGCATTTAGTGATAAAGTGATGTCAATTTTATTCCATTTTAAGTGGCGCTTACCGTATATATACATACAAATCACGAGCCGCGTTGAACACATTTTTATAAGCTCATGTTCATATCATATATGATGAATCATGTTTGACCGTGTTCAAATCAGTGTTGTTAAAGGCGCGCCTAGGCTCAAGGTAGGTCTAGCGCCTACTGTCATCCCAAGCTCACTAATGTTTACTATGCGCGCGCCTCGAGTGCGCCTCGTCCTATTTGTCAGACACGCCTCATTAATTTTTAAAAAAAACTATGATTATTCTATTTCTTAAGCCAAAAAGGATACTTTTGGCAACTTAATAAACAAATAAAAAATGCCCAAGTGTAAGAGATAAGAAACTTTTGTTTAAAAGAATAAACAAATAAGAAAGTCCAAGAGTCAAAGTGTCAACCGAACAGAGAAAGAGTGAGACCGTGAGACGAACGACGAAGCCATGCCAGTTCTTTCTTCTTCTTCTCTCTCTTCTCCTCTACTCCTCTCTTCTTAACTTTGTTTACATTTCTCTCTTCGTCTAGTTCTCTTCTCTCTCCATCTTTTTTTTTTTTTGGGGGGGGGGGGGGGGGGGGTTCTCCTTTTTTTCAGGCTCGGTTTTTTCTCCTTTTTTTCTTTAACACTTTCTCTCTTCTCGTCTACTTCTCTCTCTTCATTTACTTCTTCTGTCTCTGCGTCCTTTTTTTTTTGGCTCTGTTTTTTCTTTTCTTTTCTTATTAAGAGTTTTATTTTATTTGTTAACAGATTTATTTCTTTTTGTGCTCTGTTTTGCCATTCAAAAAACCAAATTTTGCTTTGCCTTTCAAGAAAACAAATTTGTGCTCCATTTTATGATTGTTGGATGCTTGTTTAGTTGATGGATTTTCTTTTTTATATTTGATATTAATTTTTAGAGTGTGGAAATCAGTGTGGAGATCTAAGGTGCCGCTCAAAGTGGCATTCTTTACTTAAATAGTGGTGTGGGGCAAGATTTTAACGCTTGATAATTTGAGGCGGCGAAGACATATTACAATTAATTGGTGTTGTATGTGCAAGTGCAATGGGGAATCGGTGGATAATCTTCTGTGTGGCTTTGGATTGTTAGTGTCTTCTGCTAGAAATGGTTGGGGTTTCATGGGTTATGCCTCGATCTACGAGAGGTTTGATGGAGGCTTGGAGAGGGTGCTCTGTGGGAGGTCATGCTCGTGGGTATTGAAGGATGGCGCCCTTGTGTTTATGGTGGTGTTTGTGGAGGGAGCAGAATAATAAATCCTTTGAAGGAAAGGAATCCTCGATTGCTGTTCTTAAGTCGGCTTTTATTCATCTTTATTTTTTTGGGGTTCGGGTAGGTTTTGCTCCTCACCGGAGGAGAAGATTGATTTTATTTCTTCTTTGGGACCTTAGTGTCACGGGCTTAGGGTTTCAGCACCACTCTAGCTGCTCCCGTGCGGCACCAAGACGTTGCTTCCACTCTCGCAAGTACTTGGTCAGCCTAACTCCCGTGCACACCTTAGCCAACACACTCCCTTCGTGCGCTTACTAGTGTTGTAGTTGCCCTCGCCCTCTCCTCACTAGGCTTACACACTCACACACACTAAGGCACTTAAGTTGGCAAGGAAAGAACACTTCTATTACTTCAAAGAATGCTTTGTACAAGGCTAACACTCAAGCTCTCTACAAGGCTCTCAAGACTCACTCCAGGACTTGTTGGTTGCAAAATGAAGTCCTACTCCCATTTATAGACATCCCCATCCTTAATGGATGGCTAGGATGCATTCTAACCAACGGTGGAGATTGATTCTGTAGAATCTTCTTCCACCTTCTACACATCTCCATACATATCTACAACATTCTAGAACCCTCCATACTACTCCACACAATTCTGGAGAATTCTAGAACCTTCCACACACTTCTAGAATATACTACACATATCTAGAATCTTCCACACAACTCTAGACTACTCCGGAAGACTCTAAAAACTCCACTTGCCATGCAGCGTCCTCCTCAGCGTCTGCGTGGTACAACCTCCATAGGCGGGGCGTGACATTCTCCCCCACCCATTTCCGTGACGCCCTCGTCACGGTTTCTTCAGCTGACCCAGCCTCTCGCAGGTCATCAGCACTTGCGCATATGTCCTTGGCCCAAACGTACGAGCGCTCTTTGGGAGATGTGAGGTCCTCACGAGCTCCATCGTGTTGACTGCCACCTCTGGACTCTCCTTCCTGCCCACGAGCGGCACCATGCATGCGGCCTTGCCTTCTTCACCTCCAAGTATCATTAACGCACCAAGGCATGGTAGTGGCGCGGCGTTGTTCCTGTCCATGAACTCCAGCCCCAGCACCATGTCATGGTCGTCCATCTCCGCAACCTGGAAGTCGGCCTTGCCCTTCCATCCTTGCATGCATAGCTCCACCTCTTTGCACACTCTACTCACGTGTGCCTCCTCGGGGTTGACGGCCTTGATCCATCCCTCCGTTTTGCGCATCTCCAAGCCAAGTCGTTGCGCCTCCTCTGGGGTAATGAAGTTGTGTGTGGCACCCGTGTCCACCAACGCTTGCACGGCTTTGCCACCAACCTGCGCATCCACATAGCGCACCCCAGCTACCTTCTTTGCCTTGCCCTTCTTCTTGGTGTCATGCGCCATGCTACTCAGCATCTGTATAGCCCCCATGCACCTATCTTCATCGTTGCTCGCATCGTCCACCTTGCCCTTGCCCTTATCCTTCACAAGGGCGCTCATGGTCTTCTTGTTGGGGCAGTGTCGCAATATGTGTGGCCCTTCGCACAAGTAGCACTTCGGCTCCCACTTGCCCTTATCGCGGCGCTCCCCTTTGCCACTAGCCTTAGACCTCTCCCCATGGTCCTTGCCCTTATCATGGCGTGGGCGTCTCTCCTCATCGCTATGCTCATCATCACTAGACTTGGGCGAGCTCCGTTTCTTGAAGCGCCGGTCTCCCCCACCTTTGCCGTGGTCCCTCCCGGGAGACGTGGCCTTCTTGTCATCGCGCCTAAAGTCTTCGAGGCGCTCCGCTATAGCCATTGCGGATGCCAAGTCTCTAGGCTTCCTCCTCCTTAGCTCCGTGGCCACCCAAGACTGCAGCCCATCTATGAACAAGCACACGCGTTGCCGCTCCGGCATCTCTGGGATCTCCAGCATCAAATTGGAGTACTCCTTCACATACTCCCTTATGCTACCCTTCTGCTTCAGGCGCCTTAGGTTGATCATGGCCAGATCCTCAACGCACTCAGGGTAGAACTGCCTCTTGAACTCCTCCCATGTGTCAATTGCTCTTGCGCCTCTACCAGTGAAGCGCTGCCTCCACCATAGAGCGGCAGTGTCCGTGAGGTACATAATGCCTGTCTGCACCTTCTCCTCATCATCCTCGATCTCCATGCACTCGAAGTACCGCTCCATATGCCAGAAGAAGTTATCAATCTGGCGCGCATTCCTTGCCCCATCATACTCCTTGGGCTCTGGCGCTTTCTTCTTCCTTGGCTTCACCACGACCTCGCGCGCCTGGGAGAACTCCTTCTTGCACTCGGCAATCTCCACGCGCAAGTCGTCTACCTGATCATACAAGTCCCTTTCCTTCTCTCGCCCCTTGTTGGCAATGCCGTCAATCAGCTCGTAGAGTTCCGCCATCTTTCTCTCGAGCCTGTTAAACTTGGTCTCCGTGTAGACCAAGTGTGTGACAAGCTTCTCCTCCAAGCTCTGCTCCAAGACGTGGACTTGGTGGTCTCCTCCGCTAGCCATGTCTACTCCAACAAAGCTCCCTTGACGAACCTGCTCTGATACTAACTGTCACCGACTTAGGGTTTCAGCACCACTCTAACTGCTCCCGTGCGGCACCAAGACGTTGCTTCCACTCTCGCAAGTACTTGGTCAGCCTAACTCCCGTGCACACCTTAGCCAACACACTCCTTTCGTGCGCTTACTAGTGTTGTAGTTGCCCTCGCCCTCTCCTCACTAGGCTTACACACTCACACACACTAAGGCACTTAAGTTGGCAAGGAAAGAACACTTCTATTACTTCAAAGAATGCTTTGTACAAGGCTAACACTCAAGCTCTCTACAAGGCTCTCAAGACTCACTCCAGGACTTGTTGGTTGCAAAATGAAGTCCTACTCCCATTTATAGACATCCCCATCCCTAATGGATGGCTATGATGCATTCTAACCAACGGTGGAGATTGATTCTCTAGAATCTTCTTCCACCTTCTACATATCTCCATACATATCTACAACATTCTAGAACCCTTCATACTACTCCACACAATTCTGGAGAATTCTAGAACCTTCCACACACTTCTAGAATATACTACACATATCTAGAATCTTCTACACAACTCTAGACTACTCCGGAAGACTCTAAAAACTCCACTTGCCATGCAGCGTCCTCTTCAGCGTCTGCGTGGTACAACCTCCATAGGCGGGGTGTGACATTAGGCTCCCTTTGTTGTTTATGGGACACGTTCCCCTTTTGAACGTTTTTTTGAATGAATTTTCTTATTTATCAATATATATATATATATATATATATATATATATGACTTATGAGATATGAATGTTTTTATGGTAGTTTAAATTTTCAATTGTGCGCCTCACTTCACTCAGGCCCGCGCCTCGCTGTGTTCCTCGTGCCTAGGCTTCAAAGGACCTCTAGCGCCTGGGCCTTTAATAACACTAGTTCAAATCATATTGGATGAATCACATTTTGACGAAATTATTGAGCTTGTGGTGACTACTTATATTAAATAAGTTGATTTCATCCCAATGTAATATAGGGAAGAAAATACATGTTTAAAATTACATTATTATCATTTTTTTTTACTGTTGCACAAATGTAATGTAGTTAATGCATAAAC